AACTTCAAAATTATTAGTGAGTTAAAATTAATAAGTATTTTTAATAATATTTTAATTATTAATAAATATCTATAATTTTTAAATATTTTTCATTTTTATTTCCATTTTGTAGGACCGAAGAAATAGAAATACAAAAGTTAAATAAGGCAGAGTATGGAAAAAAGCAATGTGTCGTCAGAAGTGATATCATTATTGAATTCAATTGATCAAAGAGTTTATCATTGCTGCTAGTTGCATCAATAAATTATTTTCCTATAGCTCACTACTTTGAAGAAATTTACAAAAACTAAATTTAGATTTGGTTCAGGTTATTGATTTGGCGAAAAATATGTGAACAGGTAGATACAATAAGAATGAATGTAGAAGAATATTTTTATAATATTTATTTAGACGTTGAATCGAAGGCTAAATTTTTTGATATAACACTAATTAAACCTCGTCTAGCACCTAGGCAATTATTGAGATGTAAGAATATTATAAAATATCCATTAGCATCCCATTCTTAGATACTTTTTTATCGCAAATAAAAGTACGGTTTTTAGATAAAAAACAAGTCTTCTTCAAGTTTTATTACCCAAAGATCCTTCTTCGTTTTCTAATGCCACTATTGGTAAAATTAACTATTTAGCAAAATTTTATTCCTATGATCTTGATACTGAAATAAATTTAATCAGAATTCGAATTGTAGTATAAATATTTACTACGTTAAGCTATTTTAATTGAGCGCATGCTATTGATGCGCTCAATCGGTGTAAAGAAACCTTGGCTCAATTTCCTAATATTTTGAAGTTGTTTTATATTCTTTCATGTTGGCCTATTACAACCTGTACGAATGAAAGGATTTCCAACTTGAGGAGGTTGAAAACATATTTACGATGTACTACTTCCGAATCTGGGCTAAATGGGTTAGCTCTGTTAAATATCCGTAGAGATTTGATTAAAACGACAAACGAAATTCTTGATGAATTGGCATCAATCCCACGAAAAAAAGAAATTACATTATAATTATAGTAATAAAAATTTGTATAATATTGTATTTGATAAGAAGTTATAAAAAACTTGTTTTTTAAATTATTTTCTAGTCAATATTTTATACACACTACTATTAATATTACAATAAAAAAATTATATTTTACTTATATTGTATGAGAATTTAAGCTGAGGCTAATTTTTAAAGCAAATTTACAAAAAAAATGACATTAAACTTTATTTCAACTTTACATTTAAAAAAAACTTTATTAAATATAATATACCTAATTTAAAATAATAAAAAATAGGCTTGTAATATCCATAAGCACGAATTAGTAAATAATAGTTACAAATATAAATATAATTATTATTAAATTATGAATAATTTAATAGAATAGCTAAAACATAAGACCCGGCCGAAGGCTGGGGAAAAGCTGGCCGAAAGCCAGGTAATAGGGGTTTGGGGCGAAGCCCCACCCAAAAATCCCACCCCCAAAAGAAAATTCTGGATACGCTATTGATTTTAACGTTTAGTATATATTTATAAAAAACATATTATTACATTTAAAAAATCATTTTTGTTTAAAAAAAATCGAAAAAATTTTAAAATTAAGAAAAACAAACGTTACTTTAAGCAAACAAACATAATGGTTTGGAGAACCTCTTTATATTTAAAATGAGAGATATGTTATGTAACGCAAAGCTATTTGTAATTCTTGCCCAACTCTGCACACAACTACAACATTAATCTATTTTGCCAACATATTAGAAATTCTTAAAGAAAATCTAGTAAATTTAAAATTATAAAAAATATTAATTTGAGGCATTACTGATGCCCGTTGAAACAGGATTGTTGAGGCAAATTGAACTCGAATATGAGTTTATTTGCTCCAAAGTTGAGTTAATTCGAGATTTATTAGTATAAAAATTATAAAATTTTTGTTTAATTAATTATTTATATATGCCTGAATTTATATATATACTGTGATGTGTTGTATGTAAATTTTAAAGTATAATAAGTAATTTTTTTTAAATGTGCAATTAATATTGATTTATATGTGTAATATATATTTTATTATATGCAAAATTGCGATAAGTATGTTTTTGTCTGTTCAATTAGTATGATTTTATTTGTGCAAATCCTAAAATATATGGGATTTTCATTTCATATGAGTCTTTTTTAAATAAAAATATGATAACTGTAATATTGTGCTTCACCTATCGTTTTAGATATATTTGTCTAAAAATATAAGAAATAATATACACATGTATAATATAAATATGCCATTAAGGGATCCCGGCCGAAGGCTGGCAAATAGGGGTATGAGAGAGAAGCCCATATAAAAATGAGACCGCTAGAAAACATTTGCCCTCGAGGCCGTAGCATCGCCAGTTCGCCCCTGAATAAAATGGATTGGTACGGTGAAATTGAAAACGATTATAATAGATAATTTTTTACCCTCAAGCCAAGTTAAACAATTATTGAATAATTAAGTGCACTTTAACAATTGAATAGAAAAAATAAACTGCCAATCCCATATTATTTATAGCGTCTCTGGGAAGCATCCCATTTTTTAATTTTTATATTATAATAAATTTTTTACTTGAAGATTTAATTATAAAATGAATTGTATCTATAGTATTGTTTATTAGTAAATATTTAAGATTTTTTACGCACTTTTTTAAATAAAAGAAAAAATTTCTGAGATTATTTTAAGAAATGAAAGCACATATCAATATAAAAATATTATGAAAACAAAATTTTACCTAATCATATTTTCCAACCTTGTATATGTCACAGGTTTGAGATAAACTTAGGTTTACATTTTAGTATGGTTTGTTTGGTTATATATATATGAATAATATAATAAACTTATAGATTTTTACTTTAATATTTTTAAATATTGTTTCTAAATATATTATAACCCATTTATAAAAATTAATTAACCATACTATGATAGAAAAAAGAAATCTACACATATTACATCATAATTTTTAAGAATGTGCAGCTTGTTCTTGACATTCTCCTATCAGAGCATCCTGTATTCATATCATAATTGACAGCTTATAATTTAAAATAAACAAATTAAATTGTGGAGCTTGTATAAATTAACCAACAATACTATTGAAATTGAAAACTATATTGCGATGACAAGAAAATTCATTAAACTATCGCCTTACCAAATTATCAGAGTTGTTAAGGTATCAAAATGAATATGGTATCTGTGGATATTATTTTAAAGGTATCTGTTTAGATAATTTTATTTTATTATTACCTTTGTTCCTTCTACAAACAAAATCTTCAGGCTTGCATAATATTAATCTAGATGAAATATTGAGTTAGCCGTTTTTAAAAATCGGCTCAAAACGAGCCGTTTAACAACACTAGTATATATATTCATCAAATTTTAGATGATTTTTTTAAAAATGAGTTTCGAGATTTTAATATATTTAATGATTCCTATAGTTATTATCACGACTCTGCCCAAGTGTCCCCGTAGAATGACTTATTAGTGTGGTTAAAATGTCTTTACAGATAAACGGAGACGCCTTACTGATAAAAATTTTCAGAATGTTTTATTTGTATTTTATTAATTTATTATATATTTTGTTTTGCAAATAGATAATTCATTTTTTTGATCACACTTCAAAATTTGAATTTTAACAAAAGAATCCTATCTATACATAGATACATTTGTAAAAAATGGTAATGCATAACATTTTTAAACGAAATATCTGAATCTAGATTCATTTGAAAAGCATTTTTTAACAACTTCAAATTATCCAATCAGCTGCACCCATGAATTGAAATAAAACTATAAAATAGACCTAAATAGCTTTTATAGTCAAAACAATCGATTCTTTATTTTAAAATTGTTTCCTATATATATAGTATTTTATAATTATGTCATTTAACTTCTACTAATATGCAATTACATTGACCTCCATAAGATAATATTAAATGTAGGAAAGTTATAATAATATATTATACAAATAACGCGTAACCTTTTAAAATATATAACTATTCAAATATAAAAATAGCCACTTTTTGAAAACCAAACCAAGTGTGAAATTTTTTGGGACGAAATAAAAGCATAGAAACTTCAAAAAGGCATTAATTTTCAAAATACAAATTTCGCTTAATTAACTTTTCCTTTTTTTCTGTTTTTTATTAATTATTAAAAAGGTTGTTAAAAGTTACATGTGAAAAGTAGTTATAAGTGGCCATTAAAAAAGTAACTAGCTTTATTAAAGTTTTAAAAGTAAGTCTATAAATTGCAAGTTTCTTTTTGAATAATTTATATAACTCATCATTTACAATGTAATTTTTTATCATGCAAAATATTTTGCGATTTATAAATTTTAATCAGAAATTTAACTGAAAATATAATTTAATAAAGAAAGAAATAACTACACTGAGTCCCGAAAATCTATTTTTCAAAAATTTGGACTCTAAATTTTAATGGATTTTAATAATAAACTAATTAATGTCTCAAAGATGTTCATTTTTATACAAAAATAAGCTTCACTATATTAAGCAAACGCTATATACTAGCGCTTTGTGACATTAAATCTAACAAACAGCAATTTTAAATTTATAAAACAACATATAAGAAGATAAGGAGTTTTCGATTATTCGATTCCAATCTATAATTATAAGATATTTTAAAAAGTAATCAGTAATTTTTTATTACATTCAATAAAATACTAGTCATTTTTTTTCGAAAGTAACTAGTTACACTTAATTTTTCGCAAAAATATAACTCGTTACTTTTACAACACTAATTTTTAGGTATTTTAATAAAAATATTAAAAAATTGGAAATATTAGTTATTTTTTTTATTAAAAAAAATATGCCCTGAGTATTTTCATTGAGATTTTAAATTTTATTTTTGATAATTTTATATATTTAAGTTAAAAACAAAACAAAAAACATATTCTATAATTAAAACGATATAATGATGAACAACTTTAAAAATGAATCTTAAAATAAGTCGATTTACAAGTCGAAGTTAAAGAAATAAGATATGTATTTATTAATGCTGTATAATATAAAACCATAAATACGAATTTAAATATAATATAGTAATGAATTAAATCAGCAATATATATTATTAAACAAGATTTTTTAGTCAAATAAGTGTCGCACATACTGTATAATATTCAAAGTAAAACAAATAATATCGTGATGGATTGAACTTCCACTCTTTAAAAAAATGTTGGGAATATAAAAGATTCTACCTCAATAAATTTTCATCATGAGAGGATATTGCATAACCAAGAGGAGCATTAGAAGTCGCACCTGGTAAATTGTTAAACTCATTATAATGTGAATTGTTGTCACTGGTCAAGCTTAATCCTGTATTAGGCGTATTATAGCTAGGGATAGGATTAATATTTTGATTGGAAAAAGATGAATAATCATTTCGAGAGCCGCTAGAAGTTCTACTTTTAACTATTGGATTTTCTCTAAAAAAGTAGTTGCAACCGTCCTTTAATTTGATTAAATATATAGATAGATTATTAGGTTCATATATATATATAGATATTAAGGATGTATTGATTTTTTAATATCAGATCTGCCCGATCATTCATATTAATATCGGTTATCGGCCGATATCGTTAATTTGTTGGCTGGCTGCTCCTATATATCAAAACGGCGAATAAAAAATTATTTATGATATAATGTTCATAATGGATTAGAAATGTGCACAAGTCGGCCTGCTATTTGTAAATTTCCTGGCCCGTAAAAATTAAATCAGTTTCCTAGCTCTGCAATATATTTTGTACTAACGAACGATTTTTTCCATCCAATTTAAATATTTATATTTAGGATTTCTAAAACCGAATCCGAAACTTTTATTAAGGATTCTAATTCGAGATTTGAAAGAAATATGCCGAATCCAATGTTTTTTTTTAATTAAAGCTTTTCCTTTCTTTAACTCCTTGACGACATCTACTTATTTTTTTTTTATTTAACATTATTACTTATTCTTTTATACATAAAATAATTACTATGAGAATGACGGTACATAATCCTTTTTAAAAAAATTTTGTACACAATTTTATTAATTCTTATATGGCAGGCCCAGACCATAGCCCAGCCTAGGTATACGGGCTGGAGCGGATAGTTATTTAAAAATAAGCCTAGGCCGGTCCTAAAAAAAATTTTTTATGAACCCGGGCAAGGCTGAGCCTTTCTTATAAACCCGAGTCGGGGTAAAAATTATAAAAGGTGAATAATTTAAAACTCGACTATTATCTTATATAATACATAGAATGATTATCATATTTATTCACTATCATATTATTTACATTAAAAAATACATATATCGTTGGTTGGAAAATGCTTGGGTAGTTTATAAAAGAGCAAAATATTTTTTTAAAATTACTCATTAATTATAATGTATTTGTATTTTAGTGAAATTATAACATTTAATTTGTGTTTATATACTTTACTAGACTAGGTAAATAAAAGTAATTATAATTTTATGAAATATGGTAGTATTGTAAAGTAATAAAATGTAACTTAGTTGCTAGCTTATTTACCATTTTTTAAGAAAAGGAACGCCATTCGTTACCTTCTTATAGAGGTAACGAGTAACGGTAACGCGTTTCTTTTTTTTGAGTAACGGTAACGCAAAATTTTACTCGTTACTTTAAATTTTTTCTTAAAAAATATTTTTAAAAAAAACATATTTTATAATATAAAATTACTTTTATTTTTTTTTTAATATAAATAATTTAAGCCGAGTTTTTAATTCATATCAACCACCATTTCCTTCATTTTTATTTTTTTTGTTGTTAAATTTTAAGTCGAATGTTAATCTAATTAATATTCAATCAAAATTCAAAGTAAATGTTAATAATATTGTTATTCTATTTTATAATTTATTTTAGAATTATGTCCATAGTACTTACTTCTTCAAATGAAGATGATTTAACCCTCCCCCTGGTCCCAATTTAAAACATAATTTACACCAATAAAGAAAATTAAGGGTACAAAGTCTACACTTTGTAAAGATAAATTATGTCCCAACGCAAATATTTCAACTTCAATGGTTCAAACTTAAAAAAGCATATGAAGGTAAATAGATGAATTAATATATTATTATTTTAAACATTACTTAAATAATAGAATATTAAATCATGGGTATTATAAAAAAAACCTTTAAAGGAAGTATTCTTTCATAATATTTTGAAAAGCTTAATCATGAAATTAAAATATAATCAATTAAATTATACTATAGTATAGGGCTGGGAACCAACATTAAAAACCCAAGATTAATAAAATATTGTATTGGTTCAAAATATTATATTGGGTTTAAATAATATCTTCTATATCTTGTTTTAGTGTTGCTATTGGTTTAACTTCAAATTGTTAATTAATTTAAAGAATAAAATAGTGATTTTAAAAAACTTTGTTTAAATAAATATGTATTTTTAAATAAATATATACATGGAATAAACTAAGAAGCAATATTGTTTTAGAGAACTGAACCTAGATATTTTTCCTGATTCCTTTTTAATAAACTGAATTTTGAAAAAGATAAAAAATTGAAAAATTATTTTTGGCAATCATAATTTCAATTTTTAATGTTTATCTTGACATTAAGCTTAGTGAGGGATTAAAAAATTAAATTAAATTTTTAAAAGATTTATATTCAATTATTGAAAAAAACAAGTTATTTTTAAAAAAAAATTCAGGAATTATAATATTTTAATTAAAAAATTATAGACTGTACATTCCTCAAAAATGGAAAAGATTAATGAACATTTGAATAATAATTTTAAAAAAATTGAAATCAACTCACACCATTGAGCAAAATCCATCTACATTAGAGATAATAGAACAATCAGCTGTTGATGAAATAGTTTAATTTTGTAATTGAAGAATTACAACCATTTTCAATTGTAGAAAGCACTGCATTTATTAATATTATCAAAAAATTACAGCTAACTAAAAATGTGATGTTTAGACCTACCCCGTTTCGAAAATTGACAAAGCATAATGGCAAAGAAATTGGATTTATTGTGTATCCTAAAAATTGTCTATGAATTCTTGATGCTTATCATCGTTATATAAAATATATTTTTTATAGATTATATTCTCTTTTAAAAAGTTTTATTTAGGGATGATGGTACACTGGCTATACTCAGACATTCAGCCTGCTTAGCTTGTAAAAGGCTAAATAAAAACACATATTTGATTATGTAGCAAAAATAATCTTTGAAATTTTTACCACATATAAGATACAAAATAAAGTGACCACATGCATTACCGACAATGCTAGAAATTATATAAAAGCTTTCAAGTAAAAAAATTATAATATATTTATTAAAAATTTATTAGAGTATATGAAGAAGGAGAGGAATAGGATGAGAAATAATTCCTCTTCCATTATTTGATCTATTTGAAAACCAAAATATGATAGTATTTTATACTTACCTAAGCATCATTCTTGTTCAGCACACACTTTAAATCTCATTGCAAGTGTTGATATTGAAAAGGCAGGTAAAAATGTCCATTTTAAAACCATTTCAAAAATTACATTTTCTAAATGTAAGCTATTGTGGAATAATCATGGGCAAACGAAACTGTGCAATCATTTTTAAGGAAAACGTGGGAAGATGAAGGACCTACTTTTATAACTCCGTGAAATTAGTAGATAGGCTCTTTCAATTTTGGAGAGCGAAGAAAAAATGCATTTGGGATATCTCGCTCCCATGAATTATAATATTAAAACTTTAAAAAAATGGCTTTAAATAATTTCAAGTTTTGTAAGCCGCTTATTAATTCAATTCGGGAGGCGTAGATAAAAGGTATACCGTTCAAATTACTTACAATTTATATTTCGATTATCTTTTACTTTCAATAGATTCAAACACATCTATAAAGATGAATATATACTATCCGCAATAATTCACCCGCTATTTAAATTGGTTGGCCCTGGATAAAATTAGAGGTCAAAAAAGGAAGAATGCTAGAACTTATTTCCAGTTTGATAAAAGATCTTGATTAAGAAAGAGCAGACTTAATTTTATCCAACACACATACCAGAATATTTTCTGATAAAGATAAAAAAAATTTGATGAGGAAATGAATGAAGACCCTTGTGAAGATGATCTATTAAGCTTTATTCATAATAAAAATAATTTTTAAATATTTTTAATAAATTCCCCGAATAAAATTTTCATTTATTAATAATACAATTCTCCCATTCCCTGAACCAATCAAACGTGTGTTTAGCACGGCAAAAGCTGTGTTGAGTGTATATATGAAAATTTTTTTTATAAAAAGATCTTATCTAATTATATATCTTTTTATATAGTTTTATTTATATTATATATTGTAGGAAAAAAATAAATATTTTTTTTATATACAATGTTTAATTTTTTAAGTAACGAGTAACCCGTTACTTTTTTGAATAGTCGGTAACGCTTCCTTTTTCAGAAGTAACGAGTAACGGTAACGCGCTTCTTTATTGTAGTGTTTACAGCATCATATTATGGTAATGAATGAAGTGTGTAGACATACATTTTTATTATTTTATTTTAGGTTAATTTAATATTATTTAACATAAATATTGAAGATTAAAAATTTTCTTTCAAGTTAGTGTAATTTGCAATGTTTTACAGCGTAATTATGTTAACCAGTTATGAAATGCAATTGATAGTCTATGACTATGTAGAAATCTATTAATAAATTGCTTCAATAGTATGGTGATATCTAACAATTAACAACCCATTTACATTTGATAGAGCTTGGGATTGATGAAAATGATCAGGATTTTATAAATAAAACATATGGTCTCTAATTAATGCCCCTCCTATAGCAAATTAATATTCCTCATCAAATCAGGTAAACTAATACTTTATGGTACCGATTATCAAGATCAAATCTGGACTCCCTTTCAATAATCCATTTTAACACAATCTAGCTTCATAGACTTATTCTCTGATATGATCTTGTAAATCCTTTCAAATAATTGTTACCTAAATAAAAATAAAAAGTCACCCATTGACGTCATTCAACCCCAATAAATCCAGAATATCATGATCAATCATTTTGTATCTATAATCTTCAGAATACCTCGCCGTGCCCGCATTTTAACTGCTGAAAAATTATTTAATTTGATTGTTTCGCTTAATAACAATAATAATTCAGATACAACGCGCCGATGATAGCAATATCTTGGTGTGATTTATCCGGGCTACGATCTTCCTAAGCGTCTTAAGCTCATGTCTATCCCTCTCTAAAGATTTGCGTATATGCCTAAGCAAGTCAGTCTCGATTCCTTGCTGATCCTAAGAAGGCAAATTACCTTTTTCTTGGAGGTCTCAGGAGGAACATAGTCTGGGACGTGCAAGGATCTTGGTGGCAATGGAGTTGACGAACCATGGCCGACAAAGTTGAGTTCTTTATCGTCGTCAGGATGGCGAAAGTTGAGAGTGCAATTTATGGGGAATCTCAGTTTCTTTCTTTTCCCACGAATATGCAAAGCTCTAAAAGACGCTTAGGAAGATCGTAGCCTGGATGAATCAATACCAATATTGCTAACATCGATGCGTTGCTAGAGAAGTCAAGGATTCTCATTGTTGCAGTCCACTGGGGGTCTGCTCATGCACATGACGCCTCCTACACAGCACAATAATTAGGAGGCGAAGAGATCATCGAGACGTCCAACGACTGCCTTCATCAGGGACACGATCAATAAAGCGTCCGCCTCCAAGTCAAGGTAACGTAAGTATATGATTAGCTCATGATGGTCATACACCACTTCTAATAGACGGTCATCATAATAATATCAAACGGCCTTTTTAGGCCAGTCCGCCTGTGTCGAACTCAGATGTAGTTTAGTTTGTTTCTGAGTAACCGGAATAGGGGAATGGTTAGCAGAAATATCGTGCGACCCATCGCCCATGATGCCGAGTAGCTCACGCAGTGGTAATCTCGACTGACTCTTTGTCTATCGTTTCTTCTCTAGTGTCAGCGATGCATTAGACCTGCCAGTTATCAAAAACATCTTCAACGGTATCATCAATCCCTGTCCCCTTCCAGGTATCGTTGACTTTAACTTAGTTACCTAACTTAATATCGCACTTGCGAGACCAGGTGAGGGTGCGCTGCAGTCACCGTTCACCAAAGTTGTGGCCCGTAGGGGATCTTGACCTCAACTCCCTCAAGGTCGCCAATCTTCCGGTATCCCTCTTTCATTGGGTTAGCCAACAAATACGTTCCCGTCATAGCACAACTCGTAGAGGCCCGGGTGTTGGGAGAAAAAACGTCCAAGGACCAAATCTGTTCGCCACTGTACGTTATCAAGTTAGGGATTTTTTGCAAAAGTTTGCAACACACACTCAGGGATCGGAAATTGCCCTGCAGTAATCAACACTCCTCCCGACGAGCAAAATTATCTATTTAGGGGTCCTAATCGGTTTGACAATCAAGACTAACTATGCTGACAATGATACGACTTAAATTAAGCAAATGTTTTGAAGTGTTCAGGCCCTACTGTACTAACATCAATAGGCAGACTCCTCGAGACTATGATTTTAAAAGTTGTGAATCTCTTCGCTTATACGATAACGAAAATGTCGATGTTCTTCTAATTATGGATATGCCAGATCACGCTATCAAAAACATTAATGCTGTTATGGTTATCAAGAGAAGGTTCGCCTTCTATCTTTACGAACTCATCCATCGCATACTACGTTTTTATAAAAGGAGGTTATCGCTCCACATCGACAGAAATCGTACTCACTCAAATATTAAGGAGAATCGGACTTGAAGTCTTTACCACCATCACAAAATGTCCAATGAACCCACTGATGAGAACCCGACTGATGGGCCATCTCGCACCTTGGCAAAAGAGATAGACATCCTGATCTGAGCTCCATATTCAAGCTCCCAACAGCTTAAGCGAAGTTTCCCTAGATGGTCTTTCTACTAACCAAGGAAGCCAAGCTACCCCGTCGTTGCTCTCCTTACAATTCGATCTATCATCTCAAGATGTAACTGACATATGAATTCAAAAAAAATCACAAGAATCACCCCCGCAAATATAAATTTACACATATAAATTTGTATTTCTCTATTATCTTTTTGCTTGCCTTTAATTTTTTATATTGTATTGTGTTATAAATTATCTAACTTTTACTTTGTATATTTGAAAAATATTTCGTTTAAATAACTCTAACCCTAGTCCCCTAGAACCAAACCCCTCGCTTCGAATTATAATTTTGTAGATCGTTTTGTCAGATCCTTTCCTGTCAACTCCATCATGAGAACAGAAAATAAAGACCAGTAAATATAGCCTCCTAATCTGTTGTTTGTTCTAGTAGTTTCAGACACCGATGGTTTATTTGAACCTCAAGTCCCAAAATTATTCAACGACACCTTAATAGTTTTTTTTAGATAATTTTCTTTTTCAAATTGTTTTATTTATTATAGATATAGTATATAATTTTTTGATATATACATTTTTTAATATTTATAATCAAAAATTTATCTTATTCTAATTTAATATTGAATTTAAAAATATTGATTATGAATTTAAATATTAATATTATATTAAATTGGAAAGTTTTGGAAATCGAAAAAATTAATTATATTTTTTCTCAAAATATGGAATTTTATTTTTAAAACAAGATGCTTTTATAAATGTAAGATTAAATTTAAAATAAAAAATGTGTAAATTTCTGCTTAAGCTTTTAAATTTTTTATTAAATAAAAACGTGAGAAAGCGTAAATTAATAGACGACGTATTTTGTATAAATGAGAGTAAGAAAATCGAGAGGTCTGTCAAATCCTTATATTATGCAAAAATTACCCTTCATTCTTAAAATTGGTACCCATAAGAAAAATTATTATGTTCATTGGCCCATTTCCAATAGGTATCCACATTGTAATCTAGCCCTCTTCAAAGTTTGCCCCCCTCTTTAAAGTTTGCAAACCTGTTTTTCGAAGAAACTACACCCCCTCTTTCTCCTCACAATCAACTGCCAGCTTCTCGGACATTTTCCTCGATCACAACCCAACCAAACATCATTTCTCAATTTCATAAAATGGAATTGTCAAATCACTCTTTGACATATCTCTTCCCTGCTGCAAAAACTACTTTAAAAACGAAAGAATAGTTGAAGTTCCTTTTTCATAGCTAAAAAATCTTAAGGGTGCCAGACAAAACATCCAATAAGAGGCGAGGAATGATACCATCTTAATAATTCAACAAATTACTCCCTCAATCACTCACAAACCCAAGATTAGATTATATTATATATTTTTGGGTATCAGATATATCGCCCTACGGAAGCTCATTAGTGATACCGGAACTTTTTAAATCATATCATCTAGGATGATTTATAAAATCTCTTGTCTATTCTCAACCCATATCAAATAAATGTTATCTGCTAAGGTTGGCTGCGGTACATCTAACTAGAATTCATTTAGAAAATAGGCCTAACTAGATTCAATTTGGTTTCTAAACTCTAAATGCAGCACACGACTTTTCAAAATTTTATGGAGTAATCCGAACCGATGCGGGTTACCTTTACTAAAAAATAGCAAAAAATATTTATGGAAGAGCTCCCTGAGAAGTTGTTATGTCAATGAGCATACTAAATGTTTTTAAGGAATAAACATGAGGCTTCTGGCAGTTTAACCAAAAATATATAAGCCAATCCTGAAAAAATGTCTATGACGCATTGCTACCGTTCATTTGGAATTTTATAGTTTAAAATGTCATGCCAATTAATAAATAACATTATAAGGTACAATTATTACTTTTATCACAACTTTTGGATATGATATTGTATATTTAAATCCAATTTATATACATGAATTCAGGGATTCGAACCGGAACCAGAGAAGAAAACCCGGGTTTTGAAAAAATTTCTGAACCCGAACTTGAACTCTGTATATACAATTTTCAAAACCCCGAACTGAATTCGGGAATTTTTTTAAACCCGGGTTATAAAATCGTATATTAAGATATTTGTAAAATTGTAAATACAAATATTAATAATTTAATGAGATTTTTTAATATTTTCAAGTTATTTAAATATAATAAGTAAATCCTTAAATATTACAATATTACTTAATGAAGATGAATAGATTTGTGTGAAAAGGCATCTTATTAATTTATAGAAAGCCCATATCCACGCCCATTTTATCTAATGATTATAGTTCGGATGAAGTTATTAAAGAAGATGATTTAGAGAAATTGATACAACTTAAAGAAAGGCATGACAAAATACTTAAGAGGACCAACTATTGCATAGAAAAGTATTGAAAAGATAATTATTGAATTTGGGCGATTTTAAAAGATCGGATAAGAAGGAAAATATTTTGCATTTTTGATAATTTATCCAAAATCATATTTGCTATTCCTGCAACCCAAGCTAATTTATCATATTTTCATATAAATATATTTATTAGAAGTTAGCGTTGAATGATCCTTTTCACATTTGTAATTCATTCTTTCACTGCAGATCGAAGATAAGCAAACAACACTTGGAAGATATTGTGCTAATACGTCTAAATAAAATTTTTAAAATTGATGTATGACTTTCTTTGTACTTTTAAATATATTTTGCCTATAAATAAAATAATTTTATTTTTTATACTAAATTTATGTCTAGTTTTTTAATTTTGATTTAAATATAGAAATTTTTATCAATTCAAGCTGAACCCGGAACCAAACCTGGGTTCAAAAATATTACTCTGAACTGAACCCGAATCTACTTAATTATTTTTTAACCTTGAACTGAACACAAACCGAACCTGATTAAAAATTTTGCCGGGTTCGCATCCCTGCATGAATGTCAGCATGTATAGAGTACCACATAATGAATTACAAACAATTTTGTCATGAAATTTGGAGCTAGTTCTATTATGAATATTTTTAATATAAATTAATAAAAAATTTCATGGCGAAAATGTTTGAATTTATAATATAAAAACTCTCCGGAATACATTTTCAGTAAAATCAGATTTTTAAAATTTAAAATCCCCTCAGTAAATGATTTAAAATTGAGAAATTTGGAATTCTCATGCAATCTATATCGCAATACGACATTATATTTACAAAATATTTATAATTTACTGCTTGTAATTCAAGAAAATTCCTCCAAAAATCAAGATTAGGAAGAATATCGATCCCATTTCCAACACCCAATATAAATTTTCTATAAAGAGTCCCAAATGTCAGGTAGACGCCAAAAAATGTGAAAAACCTTGAAACAATAATTGAGAATTGATATATGTAAATAGTTTTCAATTTATGTGAAATTTTTGAAAAAAATAAAATTATTATTAATTCGACTTTGATATGACATAATTATTTTATAAAAACTCATAAGCAATAACCATAGTTAAAAAGGCAAGAATAATCACTATTTACGATAAAAAATCATAGAATATCAATAAAATTGTATCTTACAGTATTGACAATATAGACCCTGTGCTTTTACCCTGGTGTCTCCTTTTCCCGGGATTACTGTGGGAAGGATTTTTATCATCAACACAAAAGGAGTCTTCCCAAAGCCTCAATTCAAATACATAACCACAATCTGGAATTTTTGCTTCTTTGTTTTGAATTGGAGAGATATTTATCATATTTTTGAATTCATATAAAAACTTAAAGGTAGGCTTTTTGAGGGCGGGGCAATGAATAAAATATATGATTTAAAAAATAAGAAAATCAGAGTCTACTAAAAAATAAATCAAACTTGTTATATAATGGTATAATATATAGATAAAATTTATTATAAACCTAGTAATATATATCAGTGAGGACAGTAGTTAGGTGATTGCTCTATTTTAAGCAAGCAATACCTAGTTTAGAAAGAAAACTATCCCTTCAGCCTCGAAGTTTTTTTTAAAAATGTATATTTGCTATCTTATATTAAGAAACTATCCTGACATTTATTAATATATAATTTGAAATATGTTAGGGTGACTTAATAAATATGAATTGGCAATTATAATTTATTTTAAAAATACAGGCGGGGCCGAATATAAATCGCCAGTATTATCTATAAAAAAATTTTAAATATTAATATATCTTAAATTTTTTAAAAAATATCCGAGCCTGGTCTGAAAATATAAAAATCCGGGCCGGGCGAATTTTAGAACCCCCAGGTCGAGCTATGCAAATGGTAGCTCTGTAGGTCTCTGGCCTAGATGGCTTTAGGGATTTAAATTTATAAACATCATTTCAGGTGAAATTAATAATTGAAAATTCGAGTTTTGTATTTTTATGATTATAAAGATGGCTTAAGCCTAAAAATATTATTTTTTAATTGGTTTAGTCCCTATTTTAAGTTTGATAAATTTTAAGGAAAATTGCATAGAAAATTAATGCCCATTCCACTCCACCATCTTACATGCAGTGAAGTAAAATGGGATTTGTCTACGTAGAACAAGAGACATTCGAAATGAAAAAAAAATATTATTGTCCAATGATGTAATAATTTTTCATTCACTGTCATTACCTCTAGCAAGCAAGAGCATACATCACAGATGGGGTTAAGTGAAGTTCTTAGATTAATCATGAAGTATGTGCTTTAATGTTAGATGTTAAAAATTTCATCAGTAAATGTTTATGGCAGGAATTTTCGTTAATAACTAGCTGATCTTAATTTCATTCAAGAATTTTAGGTGAAAAACGTGATATACCTTCTAATATACATGTTTGGTAATATGGGCAATAAAATTATCAAGATATAATTATGGGTATGACTAAATACTGAATTGCTAAAATGAATTGCTAAAAAGCAATTAATCATAATCAATCAAAATTTTATTATGTATATTTTATTTAATGAAAATTTTTAAAACTTTTTTTAAAATATACTTATATTATTTTTTTATTAAATGAAGGATACTGATTAAATATCATATAATATATAATTTTATTTTGAGTTAATATTATTATAAAAGAAATATTTTCATAGCTTATTAAAACATAAATAAATTTTTTTCAATTTTAAAAATTAACAAATATATATCCGTAAGAGGGCGTTATATGCCTAAATATGTAAGTATCATTTTAGGAAACCGGAATGATGATTGGATAGCGCTTTTTTTATATTTGGGTATATATACATATGAAAAACCTAAAAATTAAAAAAAAATTTAGGTTTCTTTGATGTTTAATTTATGAGTAGGTTTAGAATAGTAAAATAATGGAAATTTTCTAAGGTAAATATTGCTGGCGTTATTTATCAAAATCTCTTAATTTTTGTTTTATATGTGTATATTTACGTGCTAAGCATTATCCTAAAAATATTTTAGAAAATATTATGATTTGACCGAATGCCGAGCTTAAAACCGACCACTTACTAAATATTCGATTGACCAAATTTACTAGTAATATAATTTGAAAAATGTTGATTTTCGTATTATATGTCTATAAATACGCGTAAAACATAATTCTAAAAAATATTTTAAAAATGTCGTGATTTGACGGATAACCGACTCGTAGCCCACCAATGACTAAATACTGAATTGCTGGCGTTTTAAATCAAAATATCTTAATTTTTGTTTTATACGTGTATATTTACGTGCTAAGCATTATCCTAAAAAATCTTTTGAAAATAATTTGATTTGACCGATTGCCGAGCTCAAAACCGACCACTTACTAAATATTCGATTGACCAAATTTACTAGTAATATAATTTGAAAAATGTTGATTTTCGTATTATATGTCTATAAATACGTGTAAAACATAATTCTAAAAAATATTTTAAAAATGTCGTGATTTGACGGATCGACTCGTAGCCCACCCAATGACTAAATACTGAATTGCTGGCGTTTTAAATCAAAATATCTTAATTTTTGTTTTATACGTGTATATTTACGTGCTAAGCATTATCCTAAAAAATCTTTTGAAAATAATTTGATTTGACCGATTGCCGAGCTTAAAACCGACCACTTACTAAATATTCGATTGACCAAATTTACTATAAATTCTTAGTTATAAATTTATATAATTTTTGTATTAACACTTAAAATTTATGCAATACTATATGCTAAAGTATTTTTATTTTTATATAATAAATAAAATCTATAATACTCTCTAAAAATGTGTTATGTGCAAATATTTCATGAGATTCAAAAAAGGGGCGTTTAAACCCCATCACCATGATTATATTCTTTCTAATATTTTTTTATTTTCCTTTATTATTTATATTCGAAATTATTATATTTTTTCTGAATATTTAAAAAATATTTGGCATTATTTTAAAAATAAAAAAATTTGAGTTAGAAGTATATAAAAAATAATAAACAAATAAATAAATAAATACTTTTAAATAATAGCCGTTAAAATTTAAAATTGTTTTATAATTATAAATCATATTTTTGCTATTAAAATGTCTGATCTGTTCTCAAAGTTTTTATTTTGGTAAAATATATATTTAATAATATATTTTAAAATTTTATTATAGGTTAAAGGAAACGGTTATCCGCCAAATAGCGATATTTTAAAAATATTTTTTGGGATTATGTTTTACACGTATTTATAGATATATAAAACGAAAATCAACATTTTACAAATTGTATTACTAGTAAATTTGGTCAATCGAATATTTACTAAGTGGTGGCATTTGGTCAAATCATAATATTTTCAAAATATTTTTTAGGATAATGCTTAGCACGTTACACATATAAAACAAAAATTAAGATATTTTGTTTTAAAACGCCAGCAATTCAGTATTTAGTCATTGGGTGGGCTACGAGTCGGTTATCCGCCAAATAGAGATATTTTAAAAATATTTTTTGGGATTATGTTTTATACGTATTTATAGATATATAAAACGAAAATCAAAATTTTTCAAATTGTATTACTAGTAAATTTGGTCAATCGAATATTTACTAAGTGGTCGGTTTTGAGCTCGGCAATCGGTCAAATCAAATTATTTTCAAAAAATTTTTTAGGATAATGCTTAGCACGTAAATATACATGTATAAAACAAAAATTAAGATATTTTGATTTAAAACGCCAGCAATATTTACCTTAAAAAATTTCCATTATTTTACTATTCTAAACCTACTCATAAATTAAACATCAAAGAAACCAAATTTTTTTTTTAATTTTTAGGTTTTTCATATGTATATATACCCAAATATAAAAAAAGCGCTATCCAATCATCATTCCGGTTTCCTAAAATGATACTTACATATTTAGGCATATAATGCCCTCTTACGGATATATATTTGTTAAATTTTAAAATTGAAAAAAATTTATTTATGTTTTAATAAGCTATGAAAATATTTCTTTTATAATAATATTAACTCAAAATAAAATTATATATTATATGATATTTAATCAGTATCCTTCATTTAATAAAAAAAAAATTTAAGTATATTTTAAAAAAAGTTTTAAAAATTTTCATTACATAAAATAAATACATAATAAAAATTTGATTGATTATGATTAATTGCTTTTTAGCAATTCATTTTAGCAATTCAGTATTTAGTCATACCGATTATTTGTTAGTCTACCAGGAGGGTAAACTAAACATTCTTGCCGATATGTTTTCTAGCTTCGCAAGCAATAAAAGTGTGGACCAAAAGAGTTATAAACAATAAGTGTAAATATGATTGATGACTTAGTTTAGATTATAAGAGAATATGTTTAGCAACTCAAAAAGACCCAAAAAATACAACTCTATTCCTGGAACAGCATGGGACAATATTGCAAGTCTGGTCAATGGTAAATATTATCCAGTATTGTGGATGATTTACAAAATGGGTTAAAACAGTAGTCGTCATCAATATCATAGTATTCACAGTAATTTTACACAAGTGGCTTGCCTGAAATTATCGTCTCAGAAATCTAACAAGATGATAACTTTTTGTAAGAGTAACAGGATCAAACAGATTATTTTTAACTCTCGCATATAAAGTTGGTTAGCCGAAAGATTTATAAGGATACTAAAATAGTGTGTTACAATGGAAAAAATGTAGCTGTCATAATATGCCCATTCATAACTAGCAGGTGTTCTTCCAAAATTTTATTGGATCACCAGTTGTAGACTATTATGGATCAACAGAAGATCTAAAGAAAAAATTTTAGAAAAAATTTTAGAAAAAAAATTGAGACATCAATTTTATCATGACAAATCTGTTGAGGACTGAAAATTTAAGGAAAAACATGCAGGTTCAAAAGGAGACTCAGGCCAGAAGGTTATTGAGAATTTTATCATACACAGGAAAAAAGAATTGTTGTATGATGGTGATATTAATGGTGTAATTAAACAAAGGCACATTGGGTTTCTGAGGCTGAGAATTGTGATGATAGTGTTAAAGAGACACTAGAAGTGTTCAATGGTATAGATATTACAGGCTAAATAAATATTTGTCTAAGCAGACCATCTCAAATTAATAAAAATAAGTTATAAAAGAGATGAGAAGGAGATAAAATGATTTGCTAAATAATATTAATGTGTTTTTATAATTTATACTTCTATTTTTGTTAAAATTTATTAATGTATGATTTTGAGATATGCATTTAAAATAAAGAATTGTTGATATAAATAAATGGAATCAAAGAATTGTAAATATCGTAAAAATATAAATCTATATTTAAAACAGAAATAAATAAACTCGTGACTCAACAATGTTTATCAATTTATTATTTAGCATCAACTATAGATAAAGCCAACTTAGCCATTGCTTAACTATAGTGAGTACATATCATGTTATTTTACAATTTAAATAAAAATGAGCCATATTCATTTACTTTTTTCACCGTTGTATCACATAATATTATTATTTTTGCTTTTCTCTTTGAGCCTAAGCACATATCTAGATAAGGATCTCCTTCATAATAGGTAATTAGGAACCAGTTATCTATTAATATCAGATAAAATTTGTCATTAATATAAATATTACCTCCACCATCTATATCCATCTCAAGATGACTTCCTATTAGTTTATTGCTCCCCCATTTATTATCTGTCAATTGATATTGTATGACTGAAGAATTAAGATGCTTTATTTCTTCACTTGGGCAATCACAGATTTTGTATTGATATTTTACGTCTCCCATATTACTTCCAGCTAATGTCGAATATCTATTCAATTAACATAATATATGCTAAAGATTTTAAGGCTAAACTTTTGATTATAAATCGAATTTAAACGACGTACTAATGTTTGTTTAATACTATCATCTTTAAAGCGCAAAACACATTGTGGGAATATATGTTTTAAATTATATACGAAAATAATTATTGGAAAAATATTCATATCTTAAATAAACGGTTAGGGTCCACTAGATCGTATGAACATTTGTGAAAAAACGTCAAATGACCTAAAATGGCCACAAATATATTTGAAGCGATTATAAAATTGTATAATTTTGAAACGTTGTAACAGATTTGGCAAATAAATTAAAAAATGCTTTTTATTTTAAATTATTTAAATGGCTAAATGGTAATTAATATTTATATTAATACAAGAACAGTATATATTAAAAAATAAATAGCAGATAATTTACAATATTTTAGCAAACTCTTAATGCTCTAGATTCATTAATATATAATAGACAGCACAATTGTATTATAAATATATCTTTGATATAACATCATTAAAATTTATATGAAATATCTCATAATAAAATTTTTAATTAATATATAAAAATGCAATCTCTTTTTTTTGCATGATAATGTATAAATTGAATTAAATTTTTCTTAGAATAGATAATATTATTGCTAACCATTTGATTATTAGAATTTGTATAATAGCTTTGTTTAAAAATGATATAAATAGCAGATAATTTACAATATTTTAGCAAACTCTTTATTATAAATATATCTTTGATATAACATTATTAAAATTTATATGAAATATCTCATAATAAAATTTTTAGTTAATATATAAAAATGTAATCTCTTTTTTTTGCATGATAATGTATAAATTGAATTAAATTTTTGTTAGAATAGATAATATTATTGTTGTATTTTGATTTGATCAAACTATATTGAACCATTTGATTATTAGAATTTGAATAATAGCTTTGTTTAAAAATGATATAAATAGCAGATAATTTACAATATTTTAGCAAACTCTTTATTATAAATATATCTTTGATATAACATTAAAATTTATATGAAATATCTCATAATAAAAATTTTAATTAATATATAAAAATGCAATCTCTTTTTTTTGCATGATAATGTATAAATTGAATTAAATTTTTCTTAGAATAGATAATATTATTGTTGTATTTTGATTTGATCAAACTATATTGAACCATTTGATTATTAGAATTTGAATAATAGCTTTGTTTAAAAATGATATAAATAGCAGATAATTTACAATATTTTAGCAAACTCTTTATTATAAATATATCATTGATATAACATTATCAAAATTTATATGAAATATCTCATAATAAAAATTTTAATTAATATATAAAAATGCAATCTCTTTTTTTTGCATGATAATGTACAAATTGAATTAAATTTTTCTTAGAATAGATAATATTATTGTTGTATTTTGATTTGATCAAACTATATTGAACCATTTGATTATTAGAATTTGAATAATAGCTTTGTTTATATGCACTCTTTGTTTTGCCTAGTTTTCTAAAAAAATTAATTATTATATGCAAATTAAATAATATATACTTTACAATTTTCTTATTGATAATTGTTGCGATTTAGCATTAATCTCTTGGATTTTCATAATTATTTTGGGAACAAACTACTTTGGGAACGAACTATTTTTTTTTGGGAACGAACTATTGCAATTACGACAAAAAACCTATTTCCTAAATTTTCATAAGAATTAGAGGGACGATACCAAAACATGCGTGGGATAACTTACTTAATTTCTTTCCGGCTGATGCTATTATATAGCATTTTGTACACTTAATTTTTGTATAATTTTAGGGAATATTTATAACTCAAGGTAATTTTTCAAAAATTTAATAATACTAATAATTATTGAGAGTTAAAATTCTGTGAAGTGTTTATAATTTTTTCTGATGATCATTTATAGTGAACGCATTATGTTCAAACGGTATGTTATTTAATGTAGCATTATTTACAAAATCAAGCCAATAAATAGAGGATAATTTATTGAGTGTTATGATAACCTTTCATTGTTTGCGTTATTTTAGATAATAACGTTTAATGTGCAATTGTTAAAGCTAGAAGAATCAGCTGAGATTTCGATCCCGTTAAATAACGCAACAATTGAACATAACGTGTTTACTATAAATTCGCCGACCTAATTAATAGTAAACTCGTTATGTTCAAGCTGTGCATTATTTACAAAATTAAGCAATATATAATGAACAAATACAATAATTTTAACAACTTATCATTTACTCCAACTGTGACTTCCACAAAATGGCCATTATTTATTAACCCAGCGTCTACATGAAAGGGGGTGGGGCAGTTTGCATCCTATTTTTTTGAGGGGGTTAGGGGGGGGGGGTAGGATAAATTTTTTGGGGTGTTATCTATAAATTTAGAGGTCAAATAGGACAAAATTTATTGCTAAAAATTCATACTTTTTTTATAGACCTATTATAATACAACTCATCAACCAAATCTATATATCAGTGGCGTCACTAGGGGGGGGGGGGGCGCAGGAGCTCAAGCCCCCTGAAAAATTTGAATAGCCTTCTGAAGCAAAAAAAATTTTTTTTTAATCAATTCCTTAATATCCCCTTAAACTAAAAAGAACTTTTTTTGATTGTCCCCTGTTTATTATAATTCTGTTAAGTAATATATAGATTTAATTTTATTATTTAAAAATTAATAAGACTATCTAAATTTTATTAGATTAGATTAATACATATAAATTATATTTTCACTATGTCAGCTTGCAATCAAATTCTTTGTTAAAAATAAAATATCAATACCATGCATAATGTTTAAATATCAATTTAGCATTAACAGTTGAAGTTTAATTGATTTTTATTAATTAAATTATTATATAACCCTAATTAAATAAATATAAAGATTTATTAATTGAAAATTAACAAATTTAATATTGTAAGCCGAGTTTAAAATCACTATTTAAATAAAATGACTTTGCGATTTAAAAATTTAAGCATTAAAGACTTTATGAAAAAAACTAAAGATAAAAGTAGCAATAATCTTGAGGACCAAAGAAGAGGATTCAATAATAAAGATGGTGATGAACATAGTATATTTTATACAGTTTTTAAAATTCAAACTTTGATTTAGTTGAAAGACGATTAATTGTAGTTTTAAAAGATATAAATATTGAAAACAAAAATGTTAAAAGAAAGAAAATAGGTAAATAAATTTATATATAAGTCTGTGTCCAAAATGTTTTGAAAAAATCCTTAAAATTTTCACAAATTAATAACAAAACACTTTGGACATTTAAGTTTTAAAAAATAAAAATTTATTAGTTAATTATCTATTAAGTCATTTTTCACCAGAGTATTAAACAATATTGATTTCTTTAGTTTTCAAGTTAAGCAAAAATTGCTTTACAATATATTTTCACCTTTCAGGAGCAGGACACTAGAAATGGAAAAATTTTTTTAAATTTTTCTATTATAATCACATAAGGTGATGTCAAAATATTAGCTAAATAAAACATAGTAAATATTTTCTATATAAATAGCCAATATCTTAAAAAATCATACACTATTAATCTTTTTACATTAATAAAGATAATATTGGCTAAATTGTTTACTCAATCATTCTTTCATAATTTGATAATTATATATTTATTTGTTTATCCTAACTTAATAATAAACTATATTTTAATAAAAATGCTAAATAAATTTAGAATAGTTTGCTTATTTATATATATTTTTGAATAATGGACACTATAATATGGAATATTACTTTTTATATATCATATTTACAAAAATAAATACACTGAAAAGAAATACATTTTAAAATTAATCTTATCTAGATTTATTAAATAATGAAGAAAGTATTGTGAATGACATGATTGTAAATAATGTAGGTATAGAAGGAAAGAAAATGGGTAAATCAATTTATATATAAAATATTTTATTATAAATTAATTGAAGCAATATGTGTGGCTCAATCTGAAGATATATGTGAGATCCAATGTATAGATATCTCTGAAGGTATTAATTTTTTAAATATAATTAAATATAAAATTTTAGGCATGGATTCTGAAGAGGATACTACAACAAGCCAGATTCTTGATAGCAGTAAATATAAAGGTATATTGGATAAAGAAGTTTTATTACAGCAAATTACATTTGATGAAATACATTTTAAAATTAACCTTATTTAGATTTATTAAATAATGAAGAAAGTATTGTGAATGACATGATTATAAATAATGTAGATACAGAAGGAAAGAAAATAAGTAAGTTAGTTTGTTTATAAGATATTTTATATTTATTTATAAAATAATAGAAGCTATACGTTTGGCCCAATCTAAAAATAACAACTATTCAAGTATTTTTTTCATTTTAACAATATTTTTCTTCAAATATATAATATTTGTCATAATTTTCATAAAAGCAATAATATTTTAATTTTTATATTAATATTTGTCACTTTTTTAGAAGAGTTTATACAAGTATTATTTTTATTTTAACAATGTTTTTCTTCAAATATATAATATTTGTCATAATTTTCTAAAGCCAATAATATTTTAATTCATTTATTAATTTTTATCACCTTTTTCCGAAGAATTAGATATGGGTACTAAAACAACTGGTCCTATGCAACCTATATTAGGTGCCTATCCATATATTGGAATGGGTAAAGATAAACTATGCTTTCAAACTCAGTGGTACAAATCCTTTCCCTGGATTGAATATAGCATAACCAGAAACTCTATTTTTTGTTTTCCTTGTCGTAATTTTCCCACTCAACCTCAAAAAGGATACCTTTTTAATCAAGGTTATCAAAAATTTCGTAAGGTTAAAGAATACTTAACAACTCACGGAGCAACAAATGGTCATGCAACGAATGTAATTCTCTGGAACCATTATAAACAATCTTTGATAGAAGACACCATTAAAGAAAAATTTATAGCTCTAACTAAATCAACAATACTTGAAAGAAGAGAATATTTGAAACGATTATTCAAAATTATAATACTATGTGGTAAGTTGGAACTTCCCCTTAGAGGTCATTATGAAAGTAAGACAAGCAATAATCAAGGAAATTATTGTAAAATATTGAACTGTTTGAAAGAGTATGATCCATTTTTAATAGCATATAAACCACCAGGCAATGCTCATTATTGCTCACCTCAATCACAAAATCAAATGCTATCTGCAGCTGGAAACTTAATCGTAAAGTACA